TTCTGCCGCGGCAGGCTGTGCAAGAGATCCGCGCGCTGTCGGCGTCGCCCCCGTGGCGTCGTGGGGGCGGTTGCAATCTTCTAGTGCAGGCTGCCGTCCGTGGGCAACGGCTGGCAGCGAGTTCGCAGCGCGCGTGGACAGCTCGGGGCGGATCGCGCAGGGTAAGGATTAGCCATCTTCCCCAGGGTGCCCTTGCATCCTCCAATGTGGCTCTGCGTCCTCAAGTTTCGCATGTGTGTAGCGCTGCGCCGCGTGGGCCCCCGAGGCGCTTGCACCCTCGCGGCGCGGCCGAGGGGCCCGCCTGCGGGATCTGCAGGGGGTGGGGCTAGGGCGCGGGGCGGACAGCGGGCGGGCGAGGGGGGGGGGGGGGGGGGGGCGGGCGAGGGGGGGGGGTCCGCCCGCAGGGGGGGTGGGGGGGGGGGGGGGGGGCAGGGCGAGGGCCCGCAGCCGTGTCGATTCAATGTCGCTTTAACAGCCATGCGGGCGCTTCGGGGCGCGAGGCCTCAGCGGTCCTCGGTGGCGATGCCCCCCAAGGAGATAAAGGGCGATGAGACGGGCCTCGGTCGCGATCGGAACGCGGGGAGGTCCTCCAGGTGGGGCTTCTGCTTCAAATGCGACCAGAAGAAGAACCTCGAAGTCGTGAAGAAGTTGAGGGGTGCCATCCAACAGCGCGAGGCAGGGGCGCTGGGAGGGGCGAAGTCTCTGGTGCTGGAACAGGTCTCGGGTCATAAAGTGGAGATTGCCTGGCCTACTCGAATTGCCGTAGATACCTGCACTAGGATCTTGAGTTTTGCGCTGGGCGACGACTGGGGGACCTTCGCGTCGGATCGAGCGGGGGTGTCATGTATTATGCAGGAGGCTGCGACAGTTGAGGGGGCAGCCGCGGACTTAGACCTGGAGAGCGTCATCGGGGGCGCGCTGTCCGTCGGAGATGCGCCCCCGCCGGGGCCAGCTACGCCGCTGGCAGCTGAGGGGGCGTCTAGTTCGGGGGCGATCGCCTCGGGCGCTGCAGCGGCTAAGGTCCGCCAGTCTGAGCGCGCTGAAGCTCGAATCGGCGGCGCAGTTATGCAGGGCCAAGGATCGGGGTGAGTGCGAGGACCTGTCGCATACTTACCATGTGGACTGGGGGGCGGTGCTGGGGGAGGGGACTTGCGGCAAGGTGCTTCTGGGTAGGAAAATGAACCAGTCGGGGTCAGACGACGCGAGAGGCCTTGCCGTCAAGATGCCGCGGGGCGATCCGACTGCGGCTGCTGCGGGGAGTTCAATGGCAATGCAGTCTGGGCGGCTGATGAGGAGGTCGGGCGACGCGTTGCTCTGTGCTTGCACGCGAACGTCGTTCGGTTAGTCGACGAAGGCCTGTTCAGGCAGTTGACGGCCGAGGGGAAGTCGGGGCTGCAGCAGTCGCAGCACACGACCTGGGACTGGTCGGTCCGCATCGGCCTCGCGCTCGGGCTGTGCGAGATCGGCGCGCGCCAGTTCCTTCGCAAATCCGCCTTCGCACAGGGCGGCGCGCGACGCGTCCTGGCCGGCGTTCTCGACGGGCTGCTGTTCATCCGCGGGGGGGGCTGCGTTCATTGCGACCTGGAGCCAGCGAACATCTCCACGCGAGGGGCGATCCACTTGCGCGGTTGCTTCGAGAAAGAGCCGCTGACGCAGCGGGCGCGCGGGGAATGGGGCCCAGTGGCGTCGCCCCCCCAGAGCGAGACGGAGTTCCAGCGCCAGGTCCCGAGATCTTTCGAGGCGCGCGGGTGAAACGCTGCTGGCTGTAAAAGCTGGGAGACCAGGGTTGAGTTCTCACCGACTTGGCCAGAGCCCGATTGACATCTAACCGACTTTGTTAGATCTTCCTTTGAGCTCTAACCACAGTGTTTAGAGCCCGATTTGATATCTAACCGACCCTCTTGGATCTCGTTTCGAGCCCTAACCGCCTTGGTTAGAGCTCGATCGGAGATCTAACCGGCATGGTTAGATCGCGATTTGAGTTCTAACCGTCTCTGTTTGATCTCGATTTGAGCTCCTAACATGCCATGTTGGATCTCGATGCGGGCTCTCACCGGCCTTGTTTGATCTCCATCTGAGCTCTATCCGGCCATGTTAGATCTCGATGCGAGCTCTAACCTCGCTCGTTCGATATCGATTGGAGTTCTCACTGCCGTGGTGAGAAGTCGAATCTCCAACCCACCCTTCCCAGCCATGGGTCGTCGTCCTGCCGCAACTCTCTTCCCCTTCCCCCTGGAGGTCGTCAGCCTCGCTCCCCTCTCCTCTTTCCGCCCCTCTCCTCAGGTGGTGATCGGCCGACCGCGTGACCCACGTGGGCGCCCCGCAGCACAGGCCTCCAGACGTCTTCTTAGGGAACCGGCGCTTCGCAGAAAAGTTCGGCGCGCGGTCCCTCGGGTGCGCGGCCGCGGAGTTGCGCTCACGTCAGCCGCTCTTCCTCCCAGAGAGGCCGACCCCCATGGACTTCGCGCAGGCCGTCGCGGAGATCGCAGGGCGTCCAGGCCAAGAGGCTGGAACAGCTCAGGTGCTGGCGTGCCCAGCCACGTGGCTGGATTCCTTGCCGTTCTTCAACGAGTGATGCAAGCAGTCGGGCCAGGCTTGGCTTGCGCCCGAGAGCGCGCCTCGACGGCTCGCGCCGTCGTGGCACCCTGCGCGCCTCGAAAGCTGCCCCGAATTCCTCGCCGAGCTCATCCGAAAATGTTTGGTGCGGCACCCGTCCGCCATAATGGCCGTCGCCGAGGGAAGCGCCCGGAGCTTCCGGCGGCCGCCTGGCCGGGAGTTGCGCGTCCGCGTGTCCAAGCAGCAAGGCGAGAACGGGTTTGGAACGATAGCGGAGGCAGACGTCGACCCAGATTTGCTCCACTTCTTCTTGCATGCGTGCCCCGGCTGGAACAGCCTGGCCGAGAAGCGCTTGCAGACGGGAGCTACAGGGGCGAAATGCGTGAGGAAGGGCGAGGCGGCCCTGGGCTTGAAAACCGAGATCGCAGGCATCGTGGGCGAAGGTGGCCCCGCGAAGTGCCGCAGAATGAACGGCGACGCGAACTTGCAGCTGATCCCGTCGAAGCGCCACGCCGCTTTCGGGCGGGCGATTCGGAAAAAGTGAAGCCCTTGGCTGGAGCAGCTGGGGTGCAATATGCGCGAGGCAATTCAGCGCGACCATGTGCCATCGGAGATCTACGAGCAGAACGGGGCGCCCATCTTGAAGGATAACTTCGCCGACAACGCGTTCGCGCGCGCCTCCATCCAGCTCGCGCGGCGAGGCGCGCTGGGCGATGTGTGGCACGCAGACGGCGGGTGCAGCCCGTTGCGCGCGTCGGTGGCGCTGTTCGGGAAACGCTCCGTGGAAGTGAAAGTTGAGGGCCAATCGCAAGTCGCCCTCGGACAAGTGCCTGGCTCGTTCTACGTCGGCAACCTCTCGGCCCTCGAGCGCGACGCTCGCCGCCGCGAGGAGTGCAGGCGCACCTTCGACGGAGCGGCTGCAACGGCCAGGGGCGACGACGGAGCGGCTGGCCAGAACCGCCGCCTGCAGATCGCCATCGTGATCCGCTCCGACGTGTTCCGCGACTTCAGGGCGCGCAAGATCAACTCCACGCTGGGCCCTAAGTAGTTCTTCCACGTCGTCAACTACGCCGTGGCCGAGCACTTGTCCGATGTCCCCGTGGCGCTCCCTGACCTGGCCGAGGTGCTGACCGAACTTGCGCGCGCGGACCGCATCAGGCAGCGACTTGCCACCGCTGCTGCTGGTGATAGCGGCGAGGCACCGCTGGCGGTTCGACTGTAACAGTCCTAGACATTTTCTGACGGAGACCTCGAGTTTCGATTGCTTCAACAACACGGCGGAGAGGGGGGCCCTTGGGCTCGCGGGTGCTAGCGGGAGCTACGTCAGCCCCCATGCTCGCCGACCCTGTTGTCGTATTCGCGGCCGCCGGCCTGGGGAACGAGTATGGTGTGTATACTGTTGGCGGCCTGTTGGTCCTGGATGTTATTCTCATGCTGGTCATGCTAGAACAGCTAGCCTACTCGGACGCAGGTCAAGTGAGAAAGATCATCGTCATCGTCAACGTCATCGTCATGTTCATCACCATCATCATCAACGTTCTCGTCATATTTAACATCATCGTCACCAGCCGCGTCATCGTTTCCAAGCCGTCACCGTCGTCATGAACGTCATAATTTATGCGGGTAATATACGATGATGATGGTGGCGGTGGCGACGATGATGATGGTGATGAAAAGCCATGGTGGTGACGAGGGCGATTACGAGGACGATGATGATGCAAACGGGTATAATAAGACATATGTTGATGATGAGCATGGATTTGACGCTGAGTCGGTTGGGTCCGAAAAGCCCGCCCTAAAGACAGCCAGGCAGGGGGGTACGATAGGGGGTGCCATCATTGGGGTGCGAAAAGTCCACCAAGGAGGCATGATCGTTTCACGAGGGGATCTCGGGGCCATGGTCATCCAGCCACCGAGTAAGATCTTCGGGGTGTCACCATTATTTGTATTGCCAGGGCCATGCAGCAGTCGCCGTGTAAGGAACAACGTGCACATGATCTGTCCGATTTGGTGAGCGGTTGGGCTCTTGTTTTCTCGGGGAGGCCAGCGATGGAGGGCTGTAAGATCCTTTCCCGCCAGACGTCATGAGGGGCTCTGGGGGGTTGAACCCGAGTGCCTGGTGGGACGTTGGTGGAGCGCTGGTGGAACTCTCCGAGGACCTCATCTTCGGGATCCGACGTGGCGGTAAGAATGCACCACCGCGAAAAGTAACGGCTGGAACCCCAGGCCCCCCCTTTTTTTCCGAGACATGACATGATTCGGGCCGGACCGATCCGTGCTCGTCCCTGGGACCGACGCGTGGGCGCAGCCGCCCACTTTGCAGAAGTGGCAACGCCCAGGTGTCGAGGCCCCCGCAGTGCTCCTGGCGAGCTCAGGCGCTTCGCGGCCCTGTGGCCGCCTTGCCGCGCCCGCGCGGCCAGCTGGGAGGCCCTCCCCGCGGCCAGGAGTCGGCCCTGGCCGGCACCATGGACGAGGGCTCGCTGCGGAGGCGCGGCGCTGCCGATGGAGTTTCTGTATCCCCCTCCCGCCGCCGCTCCTCCTCGCTCCTCGCTCCTCCTCGCTGCTCCTCCCTCTCTCGCCCCCTTTTCCCTCCCCGCCCCCTCGCTCGCGTTTCCCCTCCCCTCGCCCTCCCCTCCCTGGCGGTGTCGTCCTCCGACCGGGGACGCGGCGCTGCGCGCTTCCCCTTTTCGTGCCGTCCGTGGCGCGCGTGCGCACGCGAGGCGAAGCGAAATGGCGCGACCTGCTGCTCCAGGTGGCCCCACGTTGGGGCCGCGCGGCAGCGCCGCGTGTCCTGGTCCGCCGCTCGGCCTTCCCCCCCCACCCCCCTCTTCCCCCCCCCCTCCCGGGCAATCCCCCAGGATGCCCGCTCCCCCCCCTCCCGAGGCGAAAGCCCGACCGCCCCCCCCTCGCCCCCCTCCGCTCTCAGCACGGGTGCATGGTCCTCCCCCCCTTCCCTCCTCTCTCCCTCCCCGCCCTCGGTCGCCCCTCCCTCAGTCGTCCGAGGCGGCCACCCTCCCGCCAAAGCTCCGCCGCCCTGGCTCGAGACTGCGTGCGCCTGCTCTCGCGCCTGCCACCCTCGGTAAGCGTCGTGATGCTGAACGCTATGGTTGCCAATGGAGCAAAACGACTGGCAGGGAGGAGGAGGAGGAGGAGGAGGAGGAGAGGAGCAGGAGGAGGAGGAGGAGGAGGAGGAGGAGGAGGAGGAGGAGGAGGAGGAGAGGAGGAGGAGGAGGAGGAGGAGGAGGGAGGAGGAGGAGGAGGAGGAGGGAGGAGGAGGAGGGAGGAGGAGGAGGAGGAGGAGGAGGAGGAGGAGGAGGAGGAGGAGGAGGAGGCGGAGGAGGAGGAGGAGGAGGAGGAGGAGGAGGAGGAGGAGGAGGAGGAGGAGGAGGAGGAGGAGGAGGAGGAGGAGGAGGAGGAGGAGGAGGAGGAGGAGGAGGAGGGAGGAGGAGGAGGAGGAGGAGGAGGAGGAGGAGGAGGGGAGGAGGGAGGATGAGGAGGAGGAGGAGGAGGGGCCGGAGGGAGGAGGAGGAGAGGAGGAGGAGGAGGAGGAGGCGGAGGAGGAGGGGAGGAGGAGGAGGAGGAGGAGGAGGAGGAGGAGGAGGAGGAGGAGGAGGAGGAGGAGGAGGGGAGGAGGAGGAGGCGGAGGCGGAGGCGGAGGCGGAGGCGGAGGAGCGGAGGCGGAGGCGGAGGAGGAGGAGGAGGAGGAGGAGGAGAGGATGAGGAGGAGGAGGAGGAGGAGGAGTAGGAGGAGGAGGAGAGGAGGAGGAGGAGGAGGAGGAGGGAGCAGGACGGAGAGGAGGGGAGGAGGAGGAGGAGGAGGAGGAGGAGGAGGAGGAGGAGGAGGAGGAGGAGGAGGAGGAGGAGGAGGAGGAGGAGAGGAGGAGGAGGAGGAGGTCGGGAGGAGGAGGAGGAGGAGGAGGAGAGGAGGAGGAGGGAGGATGGAGGAGGAGGAGGAGGAGGAGGAGGAGGAGGAGGAGGAATGTTCGGGAATGTTCGCTTAGAGGACGACGAAAGTCCAAGCTCATTTGGCAATTGTACACACCTCAGCATCACGGACCGTCTTCGGGGGCCCCGAGGGGTGGGGGTACTTACCCGCGTTAATTCGAGCTAAGTTCTGTCTCCCTGTGGGCGTGGGGGCACATTCCTTAACCAACTGCCGAGGGTCGGTGGTGCGACGAAATCCGAATTTGCTACAAAACGTGAGGCAGTATTTGCTCCAATACTGCAACGAGTGCGACGGGTGGAGGACCTTGCCGCTCACTCTCTGGGGTCCACGCAAAGGCTCGAACTCCCGAAAGTGCTTGCACGCGCACTTGGTCGCACTCGCTTGAAATTATCGAGTCGTGATTCGAAAACTGTGAACACTGCGTGCAGCAGAACTTCGCACCCACACGACACCATCGATGGTCGGAGGCCCTCGAAACACGCGCCAACTTAGGGAGGGGAGCAGGGCCACAGCTTTTCTGGCCGATCCACGGGCCACGGGCCCGACAAAATCGCACATCCCAGGGCCCGACGAGCACGCCGTCGGATCAAGGCGGCCTCCTCCTCCTCCTCCTCCTCCCTCCTCCTCCCTCCTCCTCCTCCTCCTCCTCCTCCTCCTCCTCCTCCTCCTCCTCCTCCTCCCTCCGAATCCCTCAAAAACAACAAAACTGGTCCACGCAATCTCAGCCATCGCCGACGCCATCGCGTCAGCGCACTCGTCGCCGAACCGCTCGGGATCTGTCGGCGCCGGATCGGCGTGCCGCCTCCTCTTGGCGGGAGGCAACTCATGCAAGCAGCACGCCGTCAGGCTCTCTGGCCTGGAGTGCTGACGCTACCCCGGGCCAGAGGTCGGCATTGGCTCACCCAACCTATTCGAACCCGACTCGCCTTCCTCTGGACCAGGTTGACAGGATCGGAGGGTGATCGGTGATGAAACGCAGTCGGCCTGGGAGGAGCTCCAGGGCAGAGGCGAGGGCGGTGATCTCTCCGCGCGAGGCACCGTCTGCCTCCTCCCCTGGGTGGTGGTTCCGAAACCCCAGGCTGACTTTAACAGAGTCCGTCTGGCGCGAGCGCCACTACGCCAGCACCAACCCTGCGACGCCGAGGGTCATCCGAAAAGCGACCTCCCGAACCGTCCTCGAACACGGTAGCATAGCCCTCGGCGTCGCGCGGGATGGAATTGTTGTCCCCGAAGCTCCTGGTCTCTGGGGGTCTGTCACCGAAACTGGGAATCGTTTCCCCTCTCCTTGGGACCCCTCTGAGCCAAAAACTTGGGGAGCTCTCGTGGTTTGCCCGAGCCTGATCACATAAAACATCTGCTTTCGTGAAATCTTCGTGGCCAACATTGGCCTCGCAGGCCCAAATTTTGTGAAACAGCGTCTCTGATGCCCTATGGCACCTTGGGCACAAGAGACTCGGAACTTCGTAGCCTGCCTCACTCATACGCTCGCGCGTCCACTGGCCCCCCGTGACGACCACCACATTCAAGGCCAACTCGTCGCCCAGGTCGCTGGGGCCGAGTCTGGCCATCTCCTTGCACACGTGGTACATGTCCGCACCGCCGCCGAGGTCAGTGCAGTCCAGGTGGTTCGCAGCTGTCCTCCACAGCAGGGAGTCTATGGCCGCCTCGTCGTCGTCGTCCAGGATATCCGTAAAGTCTCCATGAAAATTGCTGAACTCGTCGTCCACGACTCAAGGGATCGACCGACAGCACTGATCAGACTCCCACGACATCGGAGACCACGGGTGCCAGCCTATATCATCTGATGTCGCAATCGTAGCTCCAATCGGTCCTTTCACCAGCCGCCATCTCCTCGATCCTGCGATCTGAAGCCCAAATCTGATCTTCTCCCAGGCTAGGGCGACACGAGCGTGGTACTCAGGATGTTCCCGCCACATCTTCAACCATGAGCACAAGTGTTCGCGTCGAATCGACTTCGCAGGATTTCGTGACTTGAACGTCATCGCCACCGCAGTAGTCAGACATCGTCCAGGCCCGCTGCCCAAAGCACACTGGGCAGCTTGCTGGCGCAGACTCGCGAGGAGATGGCTGGGCACTCCGTAAAGCTTGATGACCGTAGGTGCTCCAGATTTCGTAATAAAGGGAGGGGGTCTCATTTCGGGGGGGGGGTCTCTTCCAGGCTATCTTGGAGGGCCTGGGGTGGTCTGGGGACGATGTTTTGGAGGGTTCTCCCACGAGGGGGGTCTGAAATGGCTTGTCTTGGAGGGTCCAGACCCCCTCCCTTTTATTACGAAATCTGGAGTACACTGCGGACGAACTCCCATCGACCACAGCGAGGACGTGCTGTGCCTCAGCTTCGGGAGCCGTCGTATTCTGCGTATGACCTGAAATCGTCGACGAGCCTTGGACACTCGCTCCTTCGTCTTCTTCGGGTTGCGCCTCCTGCCCGCCGACGGTTATCCACTCCCAAGTCAACAGCATCCGTCGTTACTGCTACTCCAGATTTCGTAATAAAGGGAGGGGGGTCTCATTTCGGGGGGGGGGTCTCTTCCAGGCTATCTTGGAGGGCCTGGGGGGGTCTGGGGACGGTGTTTTGGAGGGTTCCTCCACAGGGGGGGTCTGAAATGGCTTGTCTTGGAGGGTCCAGACCCCCTCCCTTTTATTACGAAATCTGGAGTACAGGTACTCCTCGTTCTCGAAGTTGCTTGGTGGTCAGGGACGCAGTCCTGTTCGAGGACGCCACCAGCACCGTCTTGTCACTCACCGTCAGACCTCCACGAGGCAGCTCTTCGCACAAGTAGCTGCCCGACTTTACTATGGTATCTATCACGATGTCTTCGGCTCCCTCGGCTCTGATAACTGTGTCATCTACGAACGTGCGCAATGAAATCTGAAAACCGTATATGTCGTGAGCCCTGGCCAAGATAGGCCCCAGGAAGGCCCTCGCCATGCGACCTCCATTGAGAGAGCCTGTCACAATGCCTCGCTCTGACTGAATGGGATGTGATTTCCAAGGACGATCTTTCAAGTACCTAGGTGCCAGACACATCTGCAACTCCAATGACAACACCGTAGCTGGAAAGCCTTGCGTCAAGGCCGCCGAGCACAACTTCGTAATGTCCAAGCTGTCGTGGAACTTCTCAGTGTCCAGCAGTAGTGCGGCTGAAGAAATCTGTAGTGCTCTCCCCGACTCGTCGAGTAGACCTCGGACCAGAGCGGCCTGAAGCGCTGACGACCCTCGGATGGCCGTGTCCCAGTGCTCGTCCGCGTCAATGGTCCATCTGAGCGTCTTGGAGCTTCGGACCGTCGCCCACAACTTGACCAAAAACGGTAGAAGGCCAAGCACTCTGTCTCCACCACGGGGCTTTGGCGCAGCCGCACCGATGACCACAAACACCTGACCAGGCCACATACGGTGCGTCTCTATGGCGTCGCATAGGTCCTTCAGCTCCTCGATCGCTTCGTTCGGCAAACGCTGCACTTCGACGGGACCCATCGAGTCCACGCCCTTCGACTTCCTGGCGTTCATGCTGGCGACCGCTGATCGAATGACCTCCACCGACAATTCAGGCAACTCTTCCTTCTTTGCATGCCGGTTGACATATTCGACACTTATGAGGACCTTGGCGGGGTTAAAGCTGGGAGACGACCATACCTTCTGCCACCTGTCCGCCCAATGGTCCACAACCTCGATGGGGGAAGAGTATACAGTCGTGGGGGTTACGATCTCGTCCGCCTTGTCGATAGTACCCCTAGCGTATGTGGAGCACTCCTGGCGTGGACTTCCACATCTTGGTAGCCCATGCTTGGAAGCCTCTCTTAGCCTCCGCCAGCGCCTTACCAATCGCACGATTCTTGAACCGCTCAGGAATTTCGCATAAGACATCGAAGTCGTCATCGTCCATCTCCGTGACCACCGTGATCATGCCCTTCCACTGGGCATACAAATCCTCCTCCAGAAATCCGCGATACAAGTCCTTCGACTCCGCCACCTGCATCAGCTCCTCCAGTTTACTGCAAAACCATCTCCAAGTCTGCGCCCATGCACTGCGCCTGACCGTGTCCAGTGGTAACACGACGCTGACCAGAATCACGTAACGGGCGAGCGTGGAGTAGTAGCGTGGTACAAATGTTCCACCTCTCGCTCCGAGGGTCGCGAAGGTGTGGTCGATCGGGAGTCGCCCGAGTTTGTTCCCATGACTCTTTGCGTCCAGCACCCCGTCCTCGTACTCTATCTGCCTCTGCAGCGGGCAAACCATGATGCAATACGTCGCCTCCTCCACCGAGCCGACCCAGGTCTCATAGGACGAGGCGATCGCGTCTTGGAGAGCCCTGTCCCTATCCAGGAGGAAGTGCGGGGTGGGAACCCTTTTTCCCCCCTGGCATAGTGCCTGGGCCTGCTTCCAGTGCTCAGTGCTGATGGCGAACTCGACGCTAGACTCCGAGACTGGCGGTTCGCGGTTGAGCTCTTCGTAGGTCTCTTGTAAATGCTCCTCCAGACTCTCGAGCTGCTTCATCTTGGCCCCCTGCAACTTCTTCTGTCTCTTGCTCTGTGGGTCGGACCTGGCCGTTGGCCTCGGCACCGCGGGTAAGGCTTTCGCTGTGATCATCGTCCTGTTCCACCAGCCCATCTTGCCGTACTTAAGGTGAATGCACAGACCCACGTGAGTGCGCCAAGGGACCTCAGGAACTGTATTGAGCATCAGCGCGTCCGCCAGGCCGGCCTTCGCGATGACATAGTCAATGAGTGACCCTCTGCCGCGATTGCATGTTGCCTTTCCATTGCACGGGACTACCAGTTGACCTCCAACTTTCGTGAGCCATTTCGTCGCTTCCCAATCACTTGGCCTCGCATTCCAATCGCCCATCAAAATCCCTGGATCCTTCACCTGTCGTAAAAACGCCGCCAATCGAATCAACGTCTTCTCATTGGCGGCTCCAAACTTTAAACCGGGAAGTAGGTAGCAGGAGACCACCACACGATTGCCAAGTCTCGTATGCCAAGTGATGGGACAGAAGCCTTTGAAGCAATCTTCGCCAGTCCGTAAGCGTTCGGCTTCTCGTAAACCATCGAAGGATGTGGTAGCCGTGCGCTTCTGCGTAATAATCCATTCGCCACCTGTTGTCCCACCCTGTGATCGACCCGTAGCCGTCGCCTCCGTGGCCACAACCTTCCAGCCGTCCTTGTTAAGATCTGTCTTCGCCGCATACAGCCGTGAGCCTGACACGTGTTTCTCCGAAAACCCTAGCATGTCGTACGCCTTCCCCTGTGCATGCATGGAGGACTTGGCTACGGGTCCCAATTCCGAAATGTTACCGAAGACAATCTTACTGGAGTGATCGTCCGTGTAGTGCCTGGTGTAATTACTTGTGCTGGTACTGGGATCGCTCGTGAACTTAACCTGGGTAGTGTCGCCCCCGAGGGGGGGGGGCGCGCGCCTGAAGCAGAAGAAGCAGAGCCGCTGCCAGTAGCACCCTTGCCGCCTGCCGTAGCCTTCTCCACGATCTTCTTGCGCTCCGCCTCCAGAACAACAGCTCTCTCGGCCCCTGCAGCAGCCTTGACCTCATCCGTGGACACCGACCCTCCCTGAGCAGGGGGACCATGCTTCTCGGGCTCGGGGTCCGTGGCAGCCGCTGGCGCCGCCTCTGCGCCTGAGCCTCTGGCCGCTTGGCCACTCTCGTCGACTCGCTGCCTCTTCGTGGCGCCCGAGCGGATGGCCTTGACCCTGGCGAATTGCTCGTGCACCGCCGCCTGAATCGCCGCCGCCTGCTCGCGCTTCTCCTTGATGACGGCCTCCAGCTCGCGAATCATCTTCGGCTCCTCCTCGCCGTAGGCCGACACATCCTTGAACAAGTCATCGTCGACTGCGAAGACCACGCGCTTGCCGTCCGATGTGTAGCCATGGGGGACACGTCTGATGTTCGCCTCCTCAGCCACGAGCGCCACTGCCTCCGCGTGCTTCGCCTTCGCCACCGCATGGTCCAGCGCTGCCTGCTTAGCCGTAGCTGTGACAGCCACCAACCTGGCCGCGGCCTCAGCCTCCGCCTTGGTGGCGCGATGCATCGCCTCTTCCGTAGACCTGGGCTCCTTGGCGGTCTGAGGGTACCGCTCCTGAGCGGTCGGGACGCGCGCCTGGCTCTCCTGGAACCGCTCCTGCGCACGCTGCAGCGGGGCGAGCTCCTTGGCGAACTGCGGGGGCTGCGCCAGCTGCTCCAGCAACGCCTGGGGGTCAGGAGAGGCCTCAGCAGGAGTAGGCCAGGAACTCCACGACCGAGTTGATGAGCGCGGGGCGCGCCACGGTGGAGCCCTCTGATAGACCGCCACCTCGCGCCCGCACTTCGCACACATACCGTTGTTGCGCATGATGCGGAAGTCGTGCGCCCAATTCCCGCACGCGCAGACCGTGACATCGCCTTTCCTCGCCATCTTGGTGGGAGAGGCATGCTTCCTGGTGCAGGGCGGGCGAGCGCCCCGCTGGAAACGGGAACACGGATGGGGCCGCGTGTTCCCTGCCAGTTCATACTTGAGCCAAACTGGATACCAAGGAGGAGGAATAGGCGGAGGCGGAGGAGGAGGAGGAGGAGGAGGAGGAGGAGGAGGAGGATGG